AGAAGCTCTTTATCAAGTAGCGAATAGAGCAGCAGCTGCGGTAGCATGCAGTTTCTCCTCTCAAAACTGCACCGGAACAGGGCTGGAAGGATTTGGTCCACAGGTGCTGCCTCCTTACTTCACTCGCGCTTTCCCAAATGTGCAGTAATCGCGTCGATACGATACCGTAGCGAAACATGCACTCAGCGGTAGGAAACAACCAGAACTGAGGGTGCAGACAATTAGCCGCGCTGCCGTAAGGCTAACCCTACGGCAGCGCGGGGCTGAGCACGGAGACGAGTATCCTGGTGGTATCGCTACCCTCCAGATTTTTTTCGCACACTTTGCCCACATACATGACAAGGACCAAGACCCAAGGAATTGATGAGTGTGCAGTTTGTCTGGCCTGGTCAGATCACATACGCATCGCAAAGGCTTTTTCTTGCCAAAGCAATGTCATTTTGGTGTTTAGTGGTTAAACCTACACCTAGGGGCAAATTTTCAGGTAAATCTAAAGTAAGTAACCTCAAAGTTTTGTCCACAGCTTCGAAAAAAAGTAAATGCCCTTGTGTGGCGGGGGTCGCAGCGAGCAGTGCTAGGGTCAGCCATTCTAATATCAATGCACAATGCTGGGGTTCAATTAACTTTCGAGCTGCGTTTTCTAAAAAACCTATCCGGCTCAGAGTTTTCTCAGGAATTTGTGGTACACCTGCATCAACTGGTTTTCAACTTGTTTTGTGCCTTGCGAAGTTGTTCGGTGGAACTATTTACTCTATATGGACCTAACGTTTCGACTAATGGTCGTCTTCAGAGCCTTGAATATGTTTCAAGGATTAGATTGCCCTCTACCGTATCAAGCGCCTCGTCGGTAGCGGTTCCGAAATCGTGTCAGGAACCCCACGAGAAGACCCCAATATTGCGAAAGTCAACTCACCGTTTCGCATTATATGCGACAGTGTCCGCTGTCCTTTTTTTATTGAAGGATATTCATCTCAGCTGTTCATTCTGGGTTTTCTGGTGAAAATCCGGGATGCTCTAATCATCTGTTTAATGCTTTTCTGACGAAATTCGTCTCATGGGCCAGAATAAGCACTTTATTTCGAACTCTACGCCATTATGCTGCTCAACTTTATGCCTTCCGAGGGCTGTTGTTGAGGGTACCGCGTCTCATACTAGCAAGATTTTCCTTGATACAGACTGAAACTCTTACTGTTTCTCCAGTATAGGTAAAGGTACATGCTCACTGGATTCCACATGTCGCTCCCACTTGCATGCAATCGCCAAGCTTCCCGTGCGGGCAAGTAACGCAATTTTCTGATAAGCACTGCTTGTCGTAGAGTCTGTTGCGAACCAGTTGCCGTTTGATGTTCTCGTTAGGTATATTCACCAACTGCACATCGTCCTGCAACTGTGCTCTTACTATACTCCGTTGGATTGCAGAGCTCACCTTTTCAGAAATAAGGGAATGCATAAGGGTAGCTTATTTTGACGCGGTACCTCTCGCGAGCCGATGCGCTGCGTCCCTCGGGGAGGTGGTGCCGTATGACCATTCGTGGTGGCTATTTCAGTAGCTAATCGTGATTCTTGCTCAGCATAGCCCGTGCACATTCCAATTACCGTTCTAAACCCATTGCGAAAAACGACGCGTTTCACGGCAGTTGGATGCGCGTAGTGTAGCTGAACCAAGCTGTTCTTCGAACTACATCACAGTACCATTTTACTCGAGTGATGCCATTGGATACGTTATGACTGTTGTGTTAACCCATTGCGTACCGCGTGCTGCACCATGTGCAGCACGCTCGTTTGCCTCTGTATGGCCGCGTGCTACACATGGTGCAGCACGCTTCGTTTGAACTTATTTA